GGAGGCTGAGGGAGAGGCAGCAGCTCCCTGCAAGCCGTACCAACCTTTCTCTAATTGGAACCGCGGAGCGCTGGCGCTGTCTGGGCTGCGGCGGCGGCGGCGCAGGGCGAGAGAGGAAAGGCGGGGAGGGGGGGTCTTTTATTATTATTTTTGCAGGTACTTACCGAGCTAGCCATGCCTGGGGGCCCGGAGGTTTGCTGGGGTGTTGTGTGGTACCCCCCTCCCCCGCCCCCCTCAGCTGTAATTCATGAAGAAGCTGCTATGAATGAGAGCGCGCCCGGGAGCGGAGGGTAGATGGCGGACATTCTCTGCCTTTTTCCCCCCGCGTTCGCTTGCTCGCTCGCTCGCTCGCTTATTAAACTCAGCCCCAAAAGCAAAAGCAGCAGCAGCAGCAGCAGCAGCTCCAGGGCCAGAGGATGAGATTCCGGAGCATGCGCCGTGGCGCCTGACACCGGGGCTCCGAGCCTCACGGGGCGGAGGGAGGGCGCGCGGGTGGGGCGGAGCGCGCGGGGAGGCCGAGCGAGCGAGCCAGGGGGAGCTCGAAAGAGCCAATCACCGGCCACCTCCCGAAACCCCGGCGGCCCGCACCGCCACACTGGAACGCCTCGCTTAAAGTAACAGGTTCCTGCTAGGGGGTGGGGGGGAGGTAGAGAGAACGGCGGGGAGGGGACGCTGGAGTGGGGAAAGCGGCCAGCTGGGGAGCCATCCCAGCCCCTGTGTAAACTCCTCTCGCCCTACAATAAAAAACGGATTAAAACTGCTGGAATGTAGCCACTGCGTAGAGCCCCCAGCAGCCGGAGAAGGGGTGTTAAATCAAGTCTTTGGCGTTAGTTAGCACGCTCGGGGGAGGGAGGGGGCTTTCTTTTACTTTCCACCACGTCTTTTTGTGGTTTTGTGCTGAAAAGGCAAGAACATACACCCAAACAAACTTACTTAAAGACAGCGAGAGAAATGCCACCCTACAAACAAGCATTAAAAAGCAATCGCTGAGACTGTTATAATCGGCCACAGTCCCCTGGCCCCTTTCTCCATCCACTCACAGGCACCTGCCCACCACCCCCACTCCCCGCCCTTCTGCTGCCGCCACCGAAAATTTAAAAATGAAATGAACAAGAGAGAAACAATGTTATTTCCTTCCAAGGGAATGCCTCCCGCGTTGGTAATCCCCGTCTGGGAGGCGTCCTAAAGCGGTGCCCAGGTAAAGGCACCTGGGAGTGCCGAGTGCAGACCCTCGAGGACCACGCTTGGAGTTGTTTTCTTCGGGAGGTTTCCCTCCTGACAGCCTGCTGGGTTGCATCAGAACGCGGAGGATTGTTCTCTGAGGACGCGCGGGACAACTGGGAGTCTTAAAATAGCAGATAAAGTTAATACTGATTGTAATGTGCATAAATTGGATTATAATCTTTAGGCGTATTGGTGACAGCCAACGTAATCCATCTCTGGGTATTAATCCGGTTAGGCTCCCGGGTGACAACCGGTCGCAGCAGCGTTCCCAGAGTAGCGCTCCTGCAAACGTTCCCACTCGGGTTGTATTTGGGCTCAGTGGCCGGGAATAGAACAGCACAGCCACGCGTGGGGCGGGGGAGGAGTACTGACTAGCTTCCTTTAGCAACGCAGACAACCTTTGCAAAGGAAACGGATAAGATCTAGACTATTGATTTGAAAGTGAAAGATGGGTGTAACCTGGGTTCGTTAAATAAAGATCCTTGCATGTTCCTAGCCCTATTCCTTTTTTGCCGTCTTCTTTCTTTTCTCCCCCTTTTCCCTCACCTCTCAACTTCTTTCTGATTCTTTCCTTCGGCTTCATTCTCTTCGCCCTGCCTGCCCTCTTTACTTGCCTCTCCTGTCTCAACTTGCTTGCTTTCTTCTTTTCCTTTTGCTTTCTTAAAACCACGAAAGCAAGTTGTCTTGGCCCTTGGATTAAAGAGAGCGGTAGAGGAGGAAGGAGGTTACCTGGGGCATCCGGGGTCCTCGTTAATTTTCAGTTCTCCCAGCTGCTCACAAAAAGATAACGCGAATCACATCCAACCACTTCGGACCAACTTTAATTTCCTGTCCAAGCTTCCAACTCGAGTGGTTTGAACCCCTAAAACTGATACTCTGCTCTCCCCCAGGTACAAGCAACCTCTTTGGCTTGAGGACCCCAATTCTTCCCCCCACTCCCTTCTATTAGATTTAGCCTAGAGTGGAGAGAAGGACTGAGGGGGAAAAACATTTTACTCCAAGTCCAAGGACTTAGATTTCTCAACTGACGCAATATACATAAATGCATGTCATCTTGCAGGTGTAATGTAGGTGTGTGTGTGTTTATGTAGAAAGACTAAGTTTACATACACGTAGACAAGCTGTGTGTTAGGATCTATGTGAAGCGTGGACCTATTTGCCCTACATTATTAAATTTCTGATAAAATAATCAAATTGGAGAGAAGTCCTTTGGAATAAAAAGACTGGAAACTGATGGTTATCTGGATGTGCCATTAGTAAAGTCATTTACTATAACGAGGCAACTATTAGGCAACGAGTGTAGCTCAGCACTCAGGCGGAAAACAATGCGAATCTCCATTTGAGTTGACTTCAGAGTTTGGTTAACTTCTTCCAATGCCACCCGGGCTTTCTTGGGATTCTCTCTGCAACTTGTACTAGCGCTAAGGGACTGATGTCTCCTTTTTCAACTATGTGTTTGCTAAATTCAGGTTTATTCCAGGAGTCACCAATAAGCCATAGAGTCAGAAAGAGACTTTTCCCATTACACTTCCTTTCTCAAAGAATGCTTTAAAAACCGAATGTAAGGGTAATTCTCATTCCCAGTCACTGGAAATGTAGATTCCGTCGGTAGATGGCGCACGGAGCCCTTTCACGGACGGCCTTACGTGACCTCTGTACAACAAAAAGACCAGGAGAGGGAGAAAAGAAAGAAAAGAAAACAACCCTGAATAATCTAAATTCAACTTTTAGGCAAAGGAATTTATGCCAGTCTTTCAATTTATTATCTGTAACCTATTCTAACAAGCTGGCTACTAATTAAAAGCAATCAAAACAGGAATAACAGCAGATTAATTTTGTGTCCAGCATATCTGAAAATCTTTGCACTTGAAGTGAAATCAAAATGTGAGAAACACCTTTTGGGTACTTGACAATGTAATTATAGAAAATATTTTGCAAATAAATTTTAAGACAAACTTCTTTAGTATTAAATACCAAAAAAAAAAAAAAATTGAAAGTAATGAGGGATAAAACCATCTGTTTATCCAAAAAGCAATTATCTTGCCAAAATTCATGCTATAGTACTTAGCACAGTATGAAGCACCATAGGGTTAGTTTTGAGGAGCAAAAAATAAAAGCAATTGACATCGTCATATTAAATCAAATGCTTGATGAAGAATAAAAGAGGACAGTGTCTGGGGCAGACCTTAGCTCCTGATCACTACCACCACCATCAGCACGGCTCTACCACCACCATTTTGTCTCCGCCCTTTTATTTGCAGTTGTTTTGTTTAGTTTGGAAGTTGAGGTCAGCTTGGATGTTTCTGGCACAACATAATGAGGTCATTTAAAGAATAATTAGGGTGTTAAGGAGCAGTGGTTGCTTCTTAATAGAATTTTATGTAATTATGCGTTGCGATAGATTATTGATGCAAAAAAGCAAATAATCAAATCAATAAAAATTAACCATTGCTCATCCTTTGCTGTGTGGATTTGGGAAGAAAGGGAAGAAGATGCCCTGGGGGGGTGGGCGGGGACAGATAATGAGAGACATTAAACAGATATTTTGCAAAAATTAGACTCAGAATAACTAAGGATTTTTTTTTCATAATGGTCCACTTTTCCTGTGTACTTCATCTATGTGTTCATTCGCCAAAACCGTATTTTGCCCATCCCATGTGCCAGGCACAGAATTAGACTGTAAGAATATAAAAATGACAGGGTTCCTGTTGTTACAGAGTTTATGACCCAGGGGAGAAGTTTCACCGAAATCTTTTTTTTTTGCATTTCATAATACCTAAATTTGGGATAGAGGTGTGTGTCATGTGTAAGCAAGTAGCATACAAATTTGACATGAAAGCCCCAGAACAAGAAAAATAGTGGCACAAGATTAGAAGCCAGGACTCATTGCCCTCAATTCCACCTTTTTATACTTAAAATAAGCTGGGGGGGAGTCATATCTTTTTGCAACAGTAGCCAAGTCCTAATTTCCTTTTCCTTGATCTGAAGAGTTTTCTATGTTCACCTTATTACAGCTCTTTTAAGAAAAAGAAAATCTCACAATGAAAGAAAGCTTACTAAGCTTTTCAAGATCATGAGCATATTTTCTCAGTTGAGACAGTTTCCCTGTTTCTTATGGAAATTTTTTGGTCAAAATGTTACATTTTTAACATTATATTCAATTCATGATTCTAGGTAGTGTTTTGGGAACCCCAGAACTGTACAAATCATTACTACTTTGAAAAAACAATTGCTTTGATACCCACTTAAGCACCTAGTCCAGGACTATTTCTGGAGATAAGAAATACACAAAGCTTTTTTAACCACCAGGGCCTCTTCATGTGTAAATTATTCCCTGAGAGTAATTTAAGCAATGCACTTATACATTCAGAAGACAAGAGTGCCTCCACAGTAATAATTTATTAATTTAGTGGGCTGTGTCCCTAATTTAATAAATAGCACCTCAAGGCCCGAAAATTAATTGAGGCCTACAATATGTAAGACCAACAATATGAAACAAGGTATATATTGGAGGTCAGTTGATATAGTGTGATTGAAAATGTCTTCCTAATATATGCAAGAACCCCAGTGGAATATTTAGAGGTAAAATACATGTTAAATTGAAACTGCTTGCTGTAAAACAATCTATCTAAAAAGTAGACCATTTTAGTATTTCTTTGTGTATCTCTGGCATCTCTTCCAAAGCTACTGCACAGTTTCCTATCTTTCTTTACATAATGATTTGACATTCTTGATTTTCAGTGGAGGTTCTGTTTTCATACATGATTTCATCTCTCCCATTCACATATTATGAATGGAGAGTTAAAATAATCACTTCATTCTAAGATCATAAACTATATTATATTGCCTTACTTGGTAAAAATGGAAAAATAATATAACAGGCCTATAAACTAATATAGACAGGTCCGACTTCAATTAAAACTGCAAAAGAAACTTAGGAAGAAGAAATTACTCCCTTCCGTGTATTGAATGGTCTAACGGTGGTTTGAAAATAATACTAAGCCTCTAAGAAGTAAGTGATTTACTACTTTCTGGTAGGATCAAGTATCCTGGTTAGGTTAAACTATTTACAGTCAGCTCAGAATAATCCATGAGTATAATACCCACTTTGTAGATAATCTACAATGACACAATTTATGTGTGCATTTTTTTTAATGTAAATTTATGTTCGAGTCAGTTTTGTTGTGGTTTTTCTTTTTGACTATACAAAATGCACATGACTG